GGAGCAGGTCCCATCGCTCTGCAAAGCTGGTCTGTCGGATCTCGACCTGCCCGGACAGGCCAGGGATGCCACCTGCAAACACCCACTTGGCTCCAAATCTGAGAGACTATCTACCGACAGCCGGAGGGAGCAGGGACATGGTCCCCACCCACGTGACCCCAACGGGAGCTGCTCAGTGGGGGCAGCCCAGGCCGCACCCTGCTGCTGGGAGCCCCCGGCTGGCAGACTCGGTTTACTGAAGGGTTTACCTGATGCCAATGGTCAGCTATAATACCAGTTCCCACTCCAGCGCATCCCTGAAAAACAGAAAATCTTCCAAGGAAAATCTTCCCAGTGAGTTTAACTTTGAGCAATGTATCTGATCATCACTTCACCTGGCCTGAGATTCATATTTACACTGATACAAATGTACATGTGGAAATTTAAAAAGCCGTTTTCCGCCTGGCCGGTGTGACTCAGTGGCTGAACATCAACTCATGAACCAGGAGGTCAGGGCTCGATTCCCGGTCAGGGCACAGGCCCGGGTTGTGGGCTCCATCCCCAGTGGGGGGCGTGCAGGAGGCAGCTGATCCATGATTCTCTCTCATCACGGATGTTTCTCTCTCCCTCTCCCTCTCCTTTCCTCTCTGCAATCAATAAGAATATGCATACATATGCATTTTAAAAACAAACCCAAACCGCTCCGATCTTATCGCCCGCTTATTGCAGAAGCCTCCACGGGCGCACACACACACACACACACACACACCACCACCGCCCCAGCTCTGCACTCAGCGTCCCCCACACGCTCCCCGTGGCCCAGATCTGACGGCTCCGCCCAGCTACGCGGCTCTCACGGGGAGCTTGGCGGCCCCTGGCCTCTCCAGGCGTGACGCGGGGTCGCCGGGCCCAGGCCCTGCAGGTGGGAGACTGACCTCGTGGTCGACCTTGATGAGCGCGATGTCCGCCTTCTCGTCCACGTCCTTGATCTTGGCCTCGTAGGTGGCGCCGTCCTTCAGCTCCACCTTGACCCGGTGCTTGTTGGTCACCACGTGCGCGTTGGTCACGATCAGCCCGTCCTCGGACACGATGAACCCAGAGCCGCTGGCCACCGGCACCTCCCTCTTAGAAAAGGGGAGCCTGGAACCCAGAAGGCACCCCGTCAGCCAGAGACACCATGACGCCTCCTTCACACCCGCGGGAGGGGGGCTCCCGCGGCAGCTCACAGCCAACAGCTGTCGCTGCGCATCTGGGGTCGGGGTCAAGGAGCCTTAGAACCGAGCGTCCTGGCCGCGTGCTCAGTGGCGAGAGCGTCACCCGAGCACCAAGGGCCGCAGGTCCGACCCCTGGACCTGGTTGCAGGCTCCTCCCAGCCCCAGTCGGGGTGCATGTGCGCGGGAGGCGACCATTCCGTGTGTCTCTTCCCGTCAGTGTCTCCATGTTCCTCTCTCCCTCCTGCCTCCCTTCCTGCCACTCTCTCTAAAAATCAATGAGAAAAACACCCTCAGGTGAGGATTAAACAGGAAGGAAAGGAGGGAGGAAGGAGACGGGATGTTAGGCCGACTTTTACCTGCAACAAAACAATGCCACTCGCCCTGGCCGGTGTGGCTAAGTGGGTAGAGCGCCAGTGGACTGAAGGGTCCTGGGTTCAATCCCAATCAAGGGCACGTACCTGGGTTGCAGGTTCCTCCCCGGCCGGACCCTGGCCAGGGCGCGTGCAGGAGGCAACCAGTGGGTGTGTTTCTCTCACACGGATGTTTCTCTCTTTCCCTCCCTCTCCCTCTCGCTCTGAGAATCCGTGGGTGAGGATTCACCAAACAAAAACAATCCCACTTAGAAAATACCCGCGGGAGTCTCTTCAGAGCAGTTTCCTAAACCGTCCAAAGGGTCAGGGATGCGATGTGAACAGTCGGACGGGAAAGCGTCTCAAGGGAGAGCCGCTCTCTGCCCCGGGAGTCCGTTCAGTGACTCGGGCCCTGGAACTGGCCGGGGACCAGCCCTGCGCTCTGCGAAGGCGGCAGGTCCGGGGGTACAGGGTGGACGGGGAGGGGGGGCGCTTGGGCCGCGGGAACGGGGGGCTCTTACTTGCGGAACAGCTCGATGTGGACGACGGCGGGGGCGATCTTCTCCACCACGTCGGCGATGAAGTTGTATTTATGGCGCAAACTGTTGGGGTCTTCCTGCCCTGGGGACAGCGCAGAGGGAAGACGCGTGAACACGCTGCCTGGGAACCCAGCTCAGCCCCCGGCGAGGGGCCTCCCGGGACCAGAGCCTCTATCGGGCTTCATGCTGGTGAGAGGCCCGATGAGCCGAGGACCCGGCCGCGGGCTCTGGGCCCCTTTACCTGAGGCAGGAATTTGCTTCCCGGCCACGGGCTCTGGGCCCTTTACCTGAGGCGGAGCCGCTCTCCTGCGGAGCGTGACCTTCTAAGGTGCAGAAAAACACCTGCACGTCCAGCAAGACAAACGCACTCGCAGGCCCCGCGGCCCCGCCTCACGGCTCCATCTCAGCCGGTCCCGTCCCTCAGTCTAGTGCCCTCCTCTGGGGGCTGGGCAGTCGGACAGTGGTCCCGGCTACACCCAGGGAAGCCAGGGCGCCCAGATGACGTCCCCGAGGACACGGAGCACCCTTCACAGTGAGAACCGACAACGGGGCATCGAACACCCCCTGCGGAGCACCAACTCCGGGCCCCTCGGACCTGCCGCCCTCCCGGGTCCCGGTGGCTGTGGCTGAGGGGTGCGTCTCCCCGATTCCTCCAGCGGGAGACACACACCAGGGGGGACATTCCTCCCCAACCTGGGCCCAGGCCAGGCCCAGCGCGGCTGTGAGCAGGCCTCTGGGTGTCCTCGGCTCCGCCTCCTGGGAGGGGCCAGGCAGGGCTCCCCCCAACCAGACCAGCGCCCGGGAAGGCCCTGAGCCCTGGGAGAAGGAAGGTCACTGGAACCCTGTGCTGAGGACCCCTAACTCGCTTCCTCTTTCCAGGGAGGGCGCAAGCGCAAAAAACCTGGGTTTTTCCAGCTAAAAGGAGAACTGGCCGCTTTCTCACACGAACTAGAGGGAGTGGCTCCAGGGCCTGTCCGCCCCGGGGCAGCCGCACAGGGAGCAGGGAGGACAGTGGCCTGGACCTGGGAGGCCCCAGTTCCATCCTCGGTCGGCCGTGGCCTCCAGTGTTCCGTCTGTAAAATGGGCCAGCTGCCTCCGGCATGAGCGTCACTGTCTGTTCCAGCTCCAACATCCCCAGAGCGAACTAACCCCTCTCTCTCCCTGATACCAACCTGCTTCAGCGAGGTAAGAGCAGGTGGCCTGAGATGGGGCCCGGGGCCCCCCAAATTCTGCACATGAGTAAACAGAGGAGCGGCCGAGAGCACATGCGCCACCGAGAAAAGCCCAGCAGACAGGCCTCTGTGGTGCAGCTTAGAAGAGAAAGCAACCCGAGCCCGGCCACGTGGCTCAGTGGTGAGCGTCGACCTAGGAACCAGGAGGTCACAGTGCATGCGCCACCGCGAAAAGCCCAGCAGACAGGCCTCTGTGGTGCAGCTCAGAAGAGAAAGCAACCTGAGCCCGGCCACGTGGCTCAGTGGTGAGCGTTGACCTACGAACCAGGAGGTCACAGTTCGATTCCCGGTCGGGGCACAGGCCCGGGTTGCGGGCTGGATCCCCCGTGGGGGGCGTGTAGGAGGCAGCCGGTCCATGATTCTCTCTCATCACTGGTGTTTCTATCTCTCTCCCTCTCCCTCCCTCTCTGACATCAATAAAAACACACGTAAAAAGAAAAAATAAAGAAAGCAACCTGGGACCTCATGGCCATCACGCGGAGGACCCAGGACAACGGGAAAGGTAAGCAGAGCGGGGGCAACTGAGCATAAGGCACAGCAACTCACTGCTCCCAGCCGGGCACCCGCGGGCCGTCTCCACGTGCAGCCGCGGGGTGAGGACCGGAGTGTCTCTCAGAGCAGCCGGTCAGTGTGGGCCCTGCTCCGGGGCCTCCCAAGGCTGCCCATCCCACTGGAGGGAGCGGCTGTGGTCCCATGGCCTTCGGAAACCCTGGCGACCCCGCTGACCCCCACTGCCGGTCAACGTCCTCCTCCCAGAGGGTCAGCCGAGGTGAAGAACGCCAACCTTGACCCACAGGCGCCCAGTGACGGCTCCGCGGAGTTTCTGGAAAGCGAGGCGCCGTTCGCAAGCGGCACGTGAAAGAGAGAAGCGAGGGCGCCCGAAACAGTTCTCAGGAGGAGAAAGCTGGGGGCAGGCGACGCGGGGTCATCGTGAACGGAAAGAAGTCTGCAAAGCCCGGACGCGTGGAGGCGTGAGTCACGGCATCCAGAGACCGAGCTGCCCGCCCACCAATGAATATCTATCGCTGCCGGCGGTAAACACAGCCGACCACCCGTTAGTGCCAGCACTTCCCGTCACGTTACGCGTTGGTACATCGGCGGATTCCAGCCAACGACGATGAACGGCTCCCTTTTCCGCTTTAGAAACGGCGAGTCCAGCACCAGCCCCACACGCCTCCCTGGACCCCTCACCCTGCAACTTCAGAGAGAGAACCTCCCAGCAGCTTTCAACGACGTCCTCACAGGAGGACACACGCACACTCACACAAACACACACACACGCATGCACGTGCGCACTCGCACACACACAGGCACACGCACACACAGGCACACACACACACACAGGCACACGCACAGACACAGACACAGACACACACAACGATGAACGGCTCCCTTTTCCGCTTTAGAAACGGCGAGTCCAGCACCAGCCCCACACGTCGCCTCCCTGGACCCCTCACCCTGCAACTTCAGACAGAGAACCTCCCAGCAGCTTTCAACGACGTCCTCACAGGAGGACACACACGCACACGCACACACACACGCATGCACGTGCGCACACGCACACACACAGGCACACACGCACACGCACGCACAGGCACACGCACACATGCACGCACAGGCACACGCACACACACAGGCACATGCACACACACGCGCACACGCGCACACGCACACACACACACGCATGCACGTGCGCACACGCACACACACAGGCACACACGCACACGCACGCACAGGCACACGCACACATGCACGCACAGGCACACGCACACACACAGGCACATGCACACACACGCGCACACGCGCACACGCACACACACACACGCATGCACGTGCGCACACGCACACACACGCACAGGCACACGCACACACAGGCACACACACACAAACACACGCACACACGCACACACGCACACGCACGCACAGGCACACGCACACACGCACGCACAGGCACATGCACACACACGCACGCACACGCACACACAAACACACACACGCATGCACGTGCGCACACGTACACACACGCACAGGCACACGCACACGCACACACACACACGCACACGCGCGCGCGCGCACACACGCACAGACACAGGCACGCACAGTGTTGATACGTTTCCATAATTATCGTCAGGGCCCGGCCGCATGGCTCAGTGGTTGAGCGTCCACCTGTGAACCAGGAGGTCACGGTTCGATTCCCAGTCAGGGCACAGGCCCGGGTTGCAGGCTCAGTCCCCGTGTGGGGTGTACAGGGGGCAGCCGATCCATGATTCTCTCTCATCACTGATGTTTCTCTCTCTCCCTCTCCCTTCCTCTCTGAAATCAATAAAAATATAGGTTTTTTTTTATTGAAACATTGTTGTCAGAATTCGAATCGCAGACACCTCCATGATTAAGTGCTTCCTGAGAAGAGCTGGGCACGGAGCTGAGTACCTGACGGACGAATGACATCGAGGAAACCCCGTGGCAGTGAAAGTGAGCATCAAGGCGGGGACCGGGGACCGGGGATTCAGCACAAGATCGGACTCGGCTTCAAACACGTCACAACGTGTGTCTCTTTCACCGTCAGCAAACGTGTCCCGTGAAGATGAAGACGAAGACGAGATGTGAGGCACGAAGAAGAGAGAGGCACATCTTCAGGGGCCTAATGCCTTGGTTCTCAAACTGTGCGCCGAGGCACCCCAGGGTACCACAGCGAGCAGACAGGGTATTTCGAGTTTCCTGGGGAGAGACGGTGACACTGGGTACCCTGGACGCCTTGAGGACTGGGTCTCGGCCATTCATTCCCTTTCAAAGTCAGGCCTCAGGACAGTCCTTTTGACGAGACCGTATCTCCGTGAACCTGGGTTTCCAGTGGTCTCTGTGCTGCAAGCAAATACACAACCAACGCGGACGTGGGAATGGGGTGGCAGCGTCTGATCCGATTCCGAGATCCGAGAGGCCGGGTGGCACTAGCAGGCGGGCACGTCCCATCCGTAAGTAACTGAGGTTATTAAACGAAGTGAAATAAATGCCTCAGACAATTTTCCTGCGAACGGCTACCAGGAACGAGGTCGTAAGGACACAAGCACCTGTGACGTGCTGGGGCCTCGTGACTGGGTCAAGGGGGCTGCTAGGCAGTGCTCTGGCCTGAGGTCACGTGGCTCTGACTCCCCACGTCTATCCCAGGGCTCCCTGCTCGCCCTCCACTCCCCAAACCCCCTCCCCAGGCCTCTCCGCCCGCCTTGCACGCACAGGCCTGCTCTTCCCGCCTGGCCACGCCGACAACTGTGCGTCAGCACAACGCTGGGCACCAGACAAGCCTTCCCTCTCCTGATTCCTGGGAGCCCAGGCAGGTCTCACCCGCCTGCAGGGACGGAAAACAGCTCGGAGGAGAGGGGGGTCCCCGAGTGTCCGGCTGCCCAGCTGGCGCTCTGCTTGGCGTCCGGGGCCTCCCTTCCAGGTCACGGCCCAGCCTCCAGCCCCCGCAGCCCACGCGGTGGAGGGGGCAGCTCCCCACGTCCGGGCCTGAGAGCACAGGGCCGGGACTCCCATTAACAAGCCAACCCTCTCTCACGGCAAGAACAATCGCACAACCCAATTTCTCGCCGGAGTTGATGGGGAGAGCGGATTCGGAAAACAGGACGCAGTGTGTTCGAGGGGAGAGAGATGAATCCTCCTTTATTCAGCGGGAACTGCATGTTCCCAAAATTCAAATCAGCCTGCAGAGCAGACGGCCCGAAACCAAGGCACTTCAATGCACTGTCCCAGTTCACAGGGCCCAGCGCTCAGCGGGAGCTGGGCCCCTTGTTCCAAAATCAATTAGGAATTCCAGGATGGTCCCAGCAGAGGGTCACATGGGGCCCGGGGGCCACACCAGGGTTTCACCCCCATCGTGCCGGCCCTGCCTGCAGTCCTGACTCATTTGATCTAAAACCCAGAGGGCAGCCCAGGCCGGTCTGGCTCGGTTGGATGGGCATCGTCTAGTGCACCGAAAGGTCACCGTTTCGATTCCAGGTCAGGGCACGTACCCAGCTGTGGGTTCGATCCCTGGTTGGAGTGGGTACAGGAGGCAGCCAATCGATGTTTCTCTCTCACATCGATATTTCTCTCTCTTCCTCCCTCTCCCTCCCTTTGTCTCTAAAATCAATTTTAAAAAAACATATTAAAAACAAAACAAAAATAAAACACAGCTCTAGCCATTTTGGCTCAGTGGATAGAGCGTCGGCCTGCAGACCGAAGGGTCCTGGGTTCGATTCCGATCAAAGGCAGGTACCTCGGCTGCAGCAACCAATCGGTTTCTCTCACATCGATATTTCTCTCTGTCTCTCCCTCTCTCTTACACTCTCTCTAAAACTCAATGGAAACAGCCTCAGGTGAGGATTAAACACAAACAAACACTAAAAACCAGGTGCAGGTACGTGCTGAGAAGATCGCTCTTGGTCAGGAGCTGATGGAGATGCTGCCGGCAGCTGACCAGGGCCCCGGGCAGCCTCCAGGGTGGACAGAGTGCCCGCAGGCAGGGAGGCAGGCACCCACCTCCCATGGGCACGGAGGGGCCTGGCACAGAGGGGCCTGGGCACGGAGGGGCCTTGACAGAGGGGCCTGGCACAGAGGGGCCTGGGCACAGAGGGGCCTTGACAGAGGGGCCTGGGCACGGAGGGCCTGCCAGCTGGATCCCTGCAGCTGCAGAGAAAAGCACAGGAAGGAGAGGCATCACCTGGGAGGAGACAGGAAAGACGCAGCTTCCGTGTCAAAGTGCCCAAGGCCCTGGGACCGAGTCTCGTTCAAATAAACTGGAGCCTCAAGGACCGACTGTCATGATTTCTAAGGC